CCTAAATATTTAACTTAAATATTTAGCTAGCCGCCTAAATATTTAACTTAAATATTTAGCTAGCCGCCTAAATATTTAACTTAAATATTTAGCTAGCCGCCTAAATATTTAACGTAAATATTTAGCTAGCCGCCTAAATATTTAACTTAAATATTAAGCTAGCCGCCTAAATATTTAACTTAAATTTTTTAGCTAGCTACCTAAATATTTAGATCGCTACCTAAATATTTAGGTTGCTACCTAAATCTTTTAGGTAGATAAATACCAATATTTTAGATGACCCTTAATGGGTCATCTAAAATACTGGTTAACCAGTAAACCTGCAGTCTTAGAGCTCTGCCTATTCACTTTTAGAAACTCTAAACACTCTGACTACTTTTAGAACGAGACTTAAGGCTTTTAATTTTGATAAATCCTATAGTTTTGAACGGTTTGGGTTTCCTGAGCTATCCCTTAGTTCTGCTGAGGCATAGACTGCTGGAGGTCAAACGGACCACATTCCCTCATTCTACTCTCCATGTTTGTAATTATTTATATAATTATATTTTTCTTCCTGAGAACTCGAACCATAGGAACTACAGTTATTCTGTTTTTTCTCTTCTTTCTGTCCTCTCCAACAAGTCAAAGCAGATATCTGTCCACTTTGAGCCTGGTTCTGGTTCTGCAGAAMATTAAAAACCTGTTGCTCAGGATGGGAGATGACAAACAACAAAGTGAAGATCTAACATAATCTGCCAGATCCCTTCGACGGAAACCTTAACCGTCATTTGTGTAAATGTTTTCACAGAGCTCTGAGAGTAAGAGAAAAGCTCCATGCTTGTACCAGTCCATATCAATAGTTTCCCTTTGTCTACTGAAAATAAATCAAAGGTTAATTCATTTAGGAAGTGTTCCAGCAGCATTCGTTCCTACAAATTAAAGTGTTCAGGGTTCACAGCAGACTTGTCAGTACTGATGTACATCTGTGTGTAGACCCCCCAACACCCCCAAACCTCATTTTCTTTGTGGCTTCAAACACCTTTGCCCCTTTCAGACAAAATCCATAATTTCTATTTGATGGTGCAGTCAGGCTGGGCTTTCTGGAGGACACTGCCTGAAATTGATGTGTCTCATTTCCGGTCCACTGAGGACACCAATTACCCTTTGGAAACTCTTTGAGGATGCTGTTACAAGCCTCTGTTTCGCTCTCCGRTGTGACCGTTTCCCACCTCTCTGTTCGTTTTTTATCTAAATGCTACATTCTGTGACTGTCATTGTCTTTTACCCTTTACTCCCACCACCTGTCTGCTGTCCTGTTGTTAATTTAAACCTGTGTGAACAGCACGCAGCACAAACTGGACAAGTTTACATTGAATTTAGAGTGATTGGTGGAGTTCTTATATAAACTGTATTTTCTTACTGTTTTTATAAACTTTTTGCCAACATTGCTGCCTTTTTGCAGCAAAATGCAATAAAATTTGTTTGGTCTGTTATTTCTTGTTTTAACATTTTAAAGTAATAAAACTTTTCATAATTTGTACCTTAATGCTTTGAGAGGTTTGTCGATCAGTTTCCTCCTCTAGACTGAACCATTTTTCTTTTCAGGGCAGGAGGGAGGCTGGATGAAAGGAAATAAAATAAATCACATATATGTTAACATGTGAACATTTCACAATAAACTAATGAACCCTTTTAAAGAGTAACTTACCCTAAAATTAACTTTGTTTAGCTGATACTCCATTTCTGATCCGGTGCTGCCCTCTAGTGGTAGGAAACTGGAAGTACAGAAACAGAGGCAAAAATACATTGGAGACGGCATAAAACTACAAAAAACTGAGTACTTTCATAGTTTTCTACCTGTTAACTTTGGGAAAATACATACCTGGGGCCCTCTTACTGTAAATTTGATTTTGTTTTAATTTAACGAGTCATCAACAATTCGTATACCAGTGTTTCTGAAACTGCTCTTCCAGGAGGAAGAGCAGTGTGGTTTTGGTCCTGGTTGTTGAACACTGGACCAGCTCTACACCCTCAGCAGGGTCCTGGAGGGTGCA